TCTTCCTTTTGGCCTCTTCCAAGCTTTGGACAATGTGAACGAAGATGATCAACAGCACCTCCCAAGAAGGTACTGCGACGGCCCTACCTCCACCATTAACGAAGTGTCAATTGCTATATATGTTAATTGGCGAGTGTCAATGCCTGACAAACACTATTACTTAGTTGTCCGTGTAGGATCGAAACACAAGAACTAAGCCAACCAGAGGGGGGCGAATGGTTGGTATGCCTAAAAACCCAAACTTTTTGCGGAATTAAAAGTTACTCTCAAATTCGATGGATTGCGGTCTAACCGAAGGTGTTGCGCCGGTCTGACCGCCTACAAGCCATCGGTCTGACCGAGATTGGAACTCCGGTCGGACCACCAAGATCACCTGCCGCGCCTGAAGTCGCCGCCAGTCTGACCGCCGCGATGCCACCGGTTTGACCACCGGTGTCTCGCCGGTTAGACCGCCGAACCCAAGGCAACACAAATCAAAGAACCTTCAAAGTAGATGACAACTTTATTGCTTCTCTCTGTGTTTACAAAGTGCAATAACAACACTCCTTACAAAAATCTCGACTAAACTCGAAACCCTAACCAAACTATCAACTCAATTGCTCTCAAAAGCGATACCGGGAAGCCTCACGCTCCCTCTCTATTTATACATAAGGTAGGCAGCCTAAAGCCACGAATCAAACTCATACTAGAAGTCCTAATCCACCTAGGAAACCTTCTTGTACAAGAAACAAACTGTACAAACTCCAATCATACCAAATTTGGACTCCTTCCAAATTCGACTCCGAATCCCATACGCACACAATACCTCTATCGTATGCCATATGGAATCTTCACTAACCACGTGTATTGAACTCTAGCCTAAGTATCCCGCATGATATCTGACCGTCACGGACATCGTCTTATCTCCAAGCCGACTCCCGATCCATCACCGGCAATACTCTCCCGAGGCATCAAGTCACCTACACATGAATCAAACAAAGAAACCATATTCGGAGACCAAGCTATCTCCAACTCGACTCATTAGTAGCAAACACAGTATTACATACGCATAGTATCCATCTAAAAGCCATAAATATGAAACAATCATGGATATCGAAATAAACAACATAAAACCGAAACCGACACAGTGTCGGCCGGTCAGACCGCGGGCTGGCCGGTCTGACCGCACAAAACACGCCGGTCGGACTGGCAGCACATGCCCGGTTTGACCGAACCCAAATCACAGCAGCAGTTCCTATTCACCTACAAATTCCAATCATCTCCAAAACCACTTCGTAAATAAATTCCAAATATCAAAACCAATAATCTCCAATGCCAATTGTTCATCACAGAATAATAATCAAAAACACCTTTGATTTTACAGTTCGGACTCGGTGGATCGCTAGCTTTGCCACTTATATATATTGATCATCCAGTACTCCCAACTTTAATCTAGCCCTCCCAAAAGGGAAAAAAAACTTTAATCTAGCCGACAGCCGACATACATATGTAATTTAGGGAGTTATTACATGTGTTATTTTAGAACTTACATTGTAAATACACTAAAATTACATATGTAATATAGGCACTTACAATGTAAATACATGCTGACTATTTTTTCATGAAAAATATGGCATCATATTTATAGGCAGTCCCTTTCTAAATTGTACAATTGTACAATTGTACAATTATACATTGTTATATTTATAGGTTTCACTGTTTATCTAATTGTTTGAATTTAACGACATCGGACCTCTAGCCAACGTATGCTATACCATCGGTTCAGCGTTCATTATATCATATCATTATTAGCCGATTGGTTTTTACTAAATTACATTATTGTTTTGATTATCGTTAGTCGATTGCCTTTATATCATTATCTACATTGGACATATAGCCGATTACTCGAAACCCTATTAACATCGGCTAGTATCAGCATCGGCTGGAATTACTCTATCGGTTTGTCAGCTGATCGACTCTTTGATCTTCAATTGTATATCCTGTCAGTTGCAGGATCAAACTGACTGGCACGCACGCCTCTTATTGATATTTTAGACCTGCACTGAAGCTAAGCAGATCTCCTAGGCCGTTGTGTTCGTTGACTTAGTTCGCGCCAACACAGATCTGACACCATCGACCGAGCGCGGATTCTTCATCAACAAGTTCCAACAAAACAAATATGTAATTCTTCAAATTCAATATGTCTCCTTTTATTAATTCTTCTACTCTTGTACAATTTTTATTATTTATGCAGATTTTTTAAACAAATATGTCTCGAAACTTCCATATGTCGTTTCTTTCCTAAAAATTATTCAATTTTGTTTTTCTATTGATTTATTAGAAAAAAATCTCATCTATAGTGGCATTTTACTTGAATGAGATTTTGTAAACCTCGAATACATATCATAAAATTTCTAGATCTGCCACCGAGTCTAGAACAATAGGCGGGTTCTACTACAAGAGACCTAACAAGACGAGCTACGGTCATTTCATTTCATAGTGCAGGTTACATTTTATCTTTAGTACACTAGCTGGAACCTATTATTTTCTCCATTCTATTATAAGATTATTTAGGTTTGTACTAAGTTAAACTTCTTTATATTTGATTAAATTTATAGAAAAGCGTAGCAATATCTACAGCACCAAATTAGTTTCGTTGAACCATTAAATATATTTTTATCATAAATTTGTTTTGTGTTGAGAATGATTTTTTTTCTATAAACTTGGTCAAATTTTAAGAAGTTTAATTTAGGACAAATCTAAAACTACTTATAATATAAAATGGAGGGGTACTTGTGACTAAGAAACATATGGTATACAATCCCATCTTCTGGAAGGCCTAGCATCCCATTATAACAAGAGATAATCTAAGAAATGCCATTGACAAGCGTTCAAATCCCAGAAATGCCATCGACAAGTGTGAGTTCTAAGAAATGCCATCGTAGAAACGATTTTGTCCCAAAAATGCCATCGCCGTTAGGGTTCCATCCATTTTGCGCCGTTAAATACACTGTCCATCCTATAGAACTTAATGGCGTGGAATGGATGGAACCCTAACAGCAATGGCATTTTTAGTATAAAGTCGTTTGTACGGTGGTATTTTTTGAAACTCACACTTGTCGATGGCATTTCTGGGATTTATACGTTTGTCAATGGCATTTCTTGGATTATCTCTTATAACAATCGACCCAATAAGAACAAGTATAAATGCATCTGGTGAAGCATAGAAGGAAAAAAAATCAGTATGAATGCACACCTAGTAAATCCCTTATTCTGTTTAAAAAAAAAGTCCCAAGAAGTTATTTTGTCCCCATAACAGTGAAATTCCTCACCGATGATGAATTGATGATGCTGCTTGCTTGATCTCTATCACTAGCGATTAGTAAGCTAATTAAAAATATCTCATTAAATTGTCTAACCTATTCTCTCACGAAGAAATATGATTGACGTGCATTCTTAGTAGGTACTTAGGTCAAAAGTATACTTCCTTTCTTAAAAAAATCTTACGAAAAATTATTTCAGGAAAGAGACTATAAATCTAAACAAATTATCCTAGTATCCAGTCGGCAAACTGTCGCATCATTTGTACTATATATTCACACTTTAATTTACTGTCAAAACTATGTGTATTAGTTAGGGGAATAGTGGATATTAGCTTGCTAATTAATTGCGCAAGGGGAGACTCCCTCGATATTTTTTAATATATAGTGTTGTTACTTTGTTTGATCATTTATCTTATTTAGAATATACATAATTATCATTTATTTTATTGTGATTGGTCTTATTGTTACATTAAAAATGCTTTACATACAACTTAAATTCTTATATATTTACTAATCTTTTTAATAAGATAAATAGTCAAACTTATGTTAAAAATCAATAATGGTATTATATAGTATAAAAAATAAAGGATTAATTCACAATGCAGCCATGCAGTATTCCTCCCTGGTTCAGATGCAAGGGACATGCTGAGGGGCTTAGATTTGTACTCTCTCCGTTTGATATTATAATTTGTTTGACTTTTTTTCTTAGTCAAAGTCTTTTATGTTTGATCAAATTTATAGAAAAAATTAGCACCATCTACAATACTAAATTAATTTCATTAAATTTAACATTAAATATATTTTAATAATATGTTTATTTTATATTAAAAATATTATGATATTTTTCTTTAAACTTAATTAAACTTAAAATGTTTGCATAAGAAAAAAATCAAACGACTTATAATATGAAATGGAGGAAGTACGCGGAAGATCTATCGTATCTCTGCTTCCAACGAGCTTCAGAGTTGAATGGAAAAGGAAAAAAACAAAGAAGAGAATCAACGGAGAAGAGAAAAAAAAAGTTTGGACAATTAAATTGTTCTAGAAGAATACAAACGGTCCGAGGAAATCTCTGAAGAAAGCCAGAAGAAGTTCAAATGGAAATTATTCTTGATGAAATTTCTTGTTATGGAATGATGAGGAAGTGCCCCTTGTTTTTGTCTTCCCAAGGTCAACCATTTCATAGAATGTGGTTAATAACCTTATACTTCCTCCGTTTCACAATGTAAGTCATTCTAGCATTTCCCACATTCATATTAGTACTAATGAATCTAGACATATATGAATGTGAGAAATGCTAGAATAACTTACATTGTGAAACGGAGGAAGTACATAGGCAAATCGGCATGTGCTTTTTCTGTAAGCACGATGGACCCACATGGGATATATTAATATTAGTAGGAAAATTAAGCTAATCCGCAGAAATAAAGGAATTATCTGTGCAACTTATTCTAGAACGGAGGGAATAAGTAAGCTTGTACTCGCTCTAAACAATAGCACTTATGTTACAAAACTTTTCATTTTTTTTAAGGAGGGTATTTAAAAATGTTGCATATATGTGGTTGGATGAAAAATTTAAGACGTTTTATATACCCGGTTGTTTGAGGCGTTGTAAACTGCCTTTTTAAATTGGGAGCTTAGTCCCTCTAACAATTAAGAGTGAAATTTGTTCTTATGAAGATTTGAACTGGGACTTGGCACCTACAAAACTTTTCATAAGGTATTGCAAGGTAATTTGTTGCTAGTGAGAACCTATAATTTTGACATGCACCCATGTTCTCCGTGCTGTGCATCGATGATCCGTCCAATTGAAAACTGAAAGACTCGGAGCCCAGCCTTTGAATTGATCCGGACATACGACCCCCTTTTTTCTGTGCAGTTTCGTTTCGTTTCCAACTTTTCAAACCTTCCCACCTTCCCACCAACCATTTCCATTTCCCTCCATTCCTCCTCTCTCCCGCCACCGTCAGCTCCCGCCTCCTCCCACGGTGGCCATACATAGGCACCCCCCATGGCGGCGCGGCGCGCCGTGGCGTGTCGTGACATGAGTGGTGCGTGGTCCGGCTCATCGTCGTCGTCGTCGTCGTCCTCGGCGTCATGGACGCCATCTTCGCGCTCCCGCCGGACGCCCGGGCGCGCGCCATGGGCCGCGCCGCGGCGCGCCTTCCCGGGTGCCTCTACCTCTGCCTCTGGGCGCCGGCGGCGGCCATCGCCGGCGGCGTCCAGCCCAAGTGCGTATATATATCCTCACCTTTCTCTCCCGTCTCGGTTTCTTCATCTGTTCCCCAATGTGCCCGTTCGTGCGCAGCCATCTGTTCTGCTTGGACGCGTGGATCGGCGGCGGTGGCGGCGTCGGCGCCGGCGGAGGCGGTGGTGACCGCGCGCTGGAGCTGTTCGAGGCGTACAGGGGGGCGCTCTGCGCCGCCGTGAGCGGGTAAGCTAGCTAGGCTAGGAGAGTTCGTCTTCCATGCGTTGCAGCTAGATTTTGAGAGGACATGGCGGCGGGCGTGCAGGTGCGTGCCGGGTTGGGCGTACAAGGAGGGCGCCGCGTGCATGGAGCTGACGGAGCACGACCTGGCGGCGTCGGCGTCGCTGCAGGTGCAGCAGCAGTTCTACCACGAAACCGGCACCAAGGTAAAGGGAGCGCGGACAAGCTGTTCGATTAATGTCTCGTGATGCGTTTGCATTGCATCATCAATGGCGATAGATGAATATGATCGACTGATCGTGTCGTACGCCATGGCAGATGGCGGTGTTCATGGGATGCGACAGCGGGGAGATCGAGGTCGGGCTGTCGGCCGCCTCGGCGACGGCGACGGCGGCGGTGGTGGGTGAGATGCAGCAGTCGATACTGGAGGAGCTCCTCCAGATGCCGCCGCCGCCGCCGTCGCCCTCGTCGTCCTCGCTGCTGTCGCTGTCCGTCGGGAGCCCGGAATACTCCTCGCTCGTTCGCTCGATGGCGACGTCGGTCGGTGCGTCCGCCGCCGCGGATCCGTCCCCGGTGCACGGCGGCCTGCTCGCGCCTGTCTACGGCGAGTTCCCGGGCTCCGACGACGACGCCGCGATGGCGCAGGCGATGCTCGCGGTCATCTCCACCCCCGCGCCTCCGCCTCCGCTGTGGCGTCCGCCCCGGCGCCGCGCGCGCTCCAGCTCGTCGCCGCGCAGGGCGACGGCGTTCAAGGCGTACAACGCCGCGCTCTCGCCGAGGGCGCGGCCGCGGCCGGGCGCGCCGGGGCAGAGGATGATCAAGACGGGCATCTCGCTCCTCGCCAGCGTGCACATGCAAACGCGCAGCCGAGAGCTCGCCGCGGCGCGCCAAAGAGACACTCACGCCGCGCCGCCGCCGCCGCCACCGCCGCCACCGCCCAGCAGCAGCCAGCTTCACCACATGATCTCGGAGCGCCGCCGGCGAGAACGGATCAACGACAGCTTCCAGACGCTCAGGGCATTGCTCCCTCTCCCTCCCGATTCAAAGGTACAAGAAAACAAAAACCAATCAAGAACTCATCTCTCGATCCAAACATCGTTGCATCACATTGTGATCATCAAATTCATTCATTCATCATCATCATCGTAGAAAGACAAGGCGGCTATTCTCGCCAGCACGACGGAGTACATGGACAAGCTGATATCGCAGGTGTCCGAGCTGGGGGAGAAGAACCGGCAGCTGGAGGCGCAGCTCGCCGCGCGTTCCGGCGAGGCCCAGTGGCCGGCTGCAAGCGGCGGCGGTGGCGGTGAGTCGTCGTCGGAGAGAGTGCAGGTCGACGTTGTCATCGCCGGCTCGTCGGCGTCGACCGATCAGCCTCGGGAGGTGAGCATCAGGGTGACGGTGCGCGCTGAGTGCGACGTGTCGGAGCTCGTCGTCGCCGTGCTCGCGCGGCTGAGAGAGATGGGTCGCTTCGCCGTGGTGTCCGTCGACGCGGGGCGAAGGAGCAGCTCGTTTGCACAAGCCAGCCTTACGTTCCGTGTCATGGTATGATCCTTACTATTTACATTTCTTGACTTTTCTACGATATACTCCTTCCGTTTCATACTATAAATTATTTGTCTTTTTTCTTAATCAATCTTCTTTAAATTTGACCAAGTTTCTAAAACAAATATATTAATATTTTCAATACAAAGCAAACATATTATCAAAATATATTTAATATTAAATTAAATGAAACTAATTTAGTGTTGTAAATGTTGCTATTTTTTCTATAAATTTAGTTAAACCTAAAGATGTAAAAAAAAAGTCAAAGAAGTTGTAATATGAAATGGAGGGAGTACTGTACTTCAAACTTAGAGTACTATTGTCATCCCAAAAATAGCTTTATCTTTACTTGTAGAAAAGCAAATTGATATGAAGGAAAAAAACAAAGTATCCATTATCAATGGAAAAGTAGTATTGATGAGTGGATAAGTAAAGGTAGGTAAGATATATTGAAAGAATAAAACTCATCAGTCTTTGGTAGATAACGAGAAAAACAGGAATGTAAACTTATTCGGAACAAATGGTATAGGCTAAAAATGTAGATATTTTGGAATAGATTGAGTATATACTTTAGGAAAAATAATAACGTGGAGTTGTGGTTATATGATTTTATCTATTAGGGTTTTCTGGTGGTGACAGCTATGCATGGATTCAAATGTTGTTGAATGGTACGGTCAACTTCCTGTGTACTTGCATTGATGCTTCACTTGCGTGAGGCCTGCGGTTTATATCGCTCTCAATAGGAAGGGGGAGAATAATTTTTTTTTTATCATAACTTGACAAAATCAGACAAAATCTTTGAAATGTCAGAGAAAGAAAAAGGATATCTATAAAGAATCTGGACTATTTTTACATCAACCAAAACTGTTGACCACATAGGTCAAAATAGTATTTAGTTAACCCAGCTATTTGAATTAGCCCTTGAAGACACGATTCACCTGACCAATTAAACTCTCTCATATATATATAGTTGTATATAATATACTTGAATTACCCTCATTCCAACTCCAGCTCCATGGCAAATAGTTTATGACGTTTATGAGTTGAAAGTTAAATTAGAAGTAATTAAGGTAGCTTTTTCCATGTATGTTCTTCACCACCATGGAAATCTTTATCCACCATTCAAAAGCTATGAATCACGGTCGCCTCAAGTAAAATACTTGTCAAACATGATTGATGTGATCAATTCAAGTTAACATCTGTATCACTTGTCTGTTGTTTGGCATTGACAAAATGACATGTAGAATTACAAATACAAAACAAATTCAGTCACCGTGGGGAAATCTCAGCTAATTGTCCATACTGAAAAGTACAAGGTAGATGCATCACATGGTCAGAAATACTTGCTAATGAAGCTTAACAAGAGTGTACTTGTCAAAACATTGCTGTAGGCCGGCGACGTCTGCGACGAGACATCGCTGAAGGAAGCCGTGGCGAAGGCCGTGGACGGCGCGGTGACAGCGCCGCCGCCGCCGGTGGCGCCACCGCCACCGACATCGCCGTAGGCAGAGGCAGAGCACACCAGTTTTGACCGGATCAGGGAGGAGGTGAGGCTAACTGAAGAAGGCAGGAGGATATGGCTATGTTTGGTGGCAATGGTGGTTTCGGTTTTCACTTCAGTCATTTCACTGTCTTGTAACTCTTGTTGCTTCTTTTAGGTGATTAATTTATTTCTTAGGACCTTGCTTTCGTAGTGTGAGTTCAGAATTCAGGGGATTTGTTAGGAATTTACCTATAGTTATATTCAGTATGTGAAATAGTGTAACTCAGCTAGCTTATTCATTAACTGTTGGTTACAGATGTTTTTTTTCCCCTTTGTTTTGTCTTTTTTTCGTCATACCAGGTTAGTTAATTGAATATTTGAATTATCAACTGCATCAAACTAGGCTTTCTTCAAGTTTCAGAGAACTCCTTTTATGCATTCAAAAAACTATGACCAGTCTGATGATCTTGAGGGGGAAGCTAAGTTGCTACCGCTTGATTCTTGAATGGACATGCTGACATGTAGCTAGGTTTGTCAAATTCTGAAATAAACCAGGCATCCCAAGCAATGTCCAGTCAAGTTGGAATTTCAGCCAGCATCCAGCTGGAAAACCATTTAAGCCAACAGTATAGGCTGTATAGCTGAGAATGGGACATCAAGTCAGGGGTTATGTACAAGGTGAACTGCGACTCTGTGAGTTGATAACGATTTTTGTGGCTTATATTAATACCATTATCACATTAGTGTAAGCCTCTTATAGACAGGATATATACATCCAGTAGATCTGCGATCTGTCGATTCAGGCTAAGCACTCGTTCAGCCAAGCTGGCTACCAAGCTCTATCAAGTTTTTATTCGAGAGATTGATTATCGAGTCGGCGATCACTCGGGCGCTCGACTTCATGTATCCTCCTGAGAACGGGCAGATGGAAAGTGTGCACATGAATACCATGGCAATAGAGGTTGCCTGTGATTGGCTTAAGAATCCATAAATGTGTTGGTACTTACCTGATGTTAACATGAGTAGTGGGATGCTTTGATCCTTTGCAAACCTGAACACCTTCTCATCTCTGATCACCACGCCCTGAGGGCTTATCTGGAAGGTGAAAGAAATCATGTTAAGTTCAGTGGATTAGACAACGATCTGGTACATGGTAGGTAATACTTCTGCATCAGATCATTTTCCTTATTTATCTTGTTCACAAGATAGATATGAAACCCAGGAATTACTGGAACAGAATCCAGATTTGGTAGGGAACATATTAGATTGCTTTAACAAACATTTTTTTTGTGAAATATGTATTGTTCCAAAAGTTACCTTCAATCTTCCCAATGGATCGCCATCCAGGATATCTGTCCCAGCATTGTAAACAATCAACTGAGGCTGAAATCTACTTTCTGCAACCTGCAAATAACATGCTCCAAGAGGAACCGGTAAGTAACAAGTTAGGTAAAAACTGAAAAATAAATACACAAAGAATGATGATTCAAAGCGCAGCCATTCTGCAAAGATATGGAAGAACAGAAAGTATGCTTCTAACTTCCAAGTGCATTAAGCTGCCAATACATAAAGAAACAGTACTGGCAATAAAGCATTGGCCATGAAGTACTATTTTATTTTCACATTTCAATCTTCCTTGAGCACAGAGGCTAAACTTACTCAGCGCCATGGATGCAATTTAACTCAACATCAGAAGCTTAACTAGTAAAAAAACACTTTTTTGTTCACTTTACTTAAAATTCTGGACATATATCAATCAAAAATTGTCACCTCAAAATGTTATACTTGACCTAATAAATCTCCTTAAAACTGCACTTGGTACAGGGAAAACATCATGTAACTGCCAGTTTTCAACATCACGCCATTAAAAGTGTAAGATACCTTAAGAGCCTTGTCAAGTTGATCCAAGTAGTCTTCTGTCTTTGTCCCACTCTAGAATGCACAATCACAATTACGTAATGAGAAATCTAACTCAAATTTGAATTAAATGAAAAGTTTAAGTAATAAGCAGGGTCCATGAGGCAACTTACAACTAGCTCGACTTTTTGATCAATATACCGCTTAGCAACATGATCCTAAAATGGAGTTGTCAATTTACATAGGAAGTCAGAAAATAGCTGGTATTAGATAAAAGGGAATGATAATGACAAGGACTGGACTTTAAGTTGGTCAAAATTTACATGAAAATCATAGCATTTTTAGATTGAACACCACAACATTTTCGTCTCAAAAAAACAACACCACAACATTTGAATAGAGAGTTTTGTATAAATTGCAGAAATAGACAGTTTGAGTTTCAGTTTTGATATATGTTCAACACTGGTTGTCTAAACCTGATAAAATGCAAAAGTGTGTCCCCTACAGCCTACACAATAAACCCAGAACTTGTATAACCACAAACCCATATACTCCAGATGTTATTCTTACATAGGGATATATTCCAGCATTGTACATATCCAAAGTGTAAACTCTTCCTGCAAGAGAAAATTGGCATCATAATAACCTATATATTGAAAAGATAATGTGCAGAAAAAGTAAAGGTCATACCATCATTAGCGAAATCCTTTTCATGGCCATTTCCTTGGTGGGCATCCAGATCTATGATCATCACTCTAAAATGATTCGAACAATTTAGGCACATATAAAGATAAATTTAACAGTATAGAATGAATATAAAAGCTTGCAACACTGCCAACTAATGCAATAAGTAGTAAGAAAAGCACATCGAATATTAAATTCCAACAAGTATCCCAAACCTTCCTAGTAAGAAAAAGGATTGACATGACAGAGGAATAATACAGATAGTTTATAGAAGCTAGATAGCATAGCCTGGTGTGGCACCTTATCTCTCTGGATGTAACTGGAAATTAATTCCCAGCAATCTATGCAATGGGTTGGGGGATAGTTTGTGTAAATTTCCAGGATACGAACCCATGACTTATGGAGAATATAAGCAGTATGATGGCTAAAATTTTCCCTACATTTTTAGCGGCAAAACAGAGAGCTTGTAGACTTGCACAATATACTGACAGTTGAAGAAAAAAATGTGAGACAAAGGTGGGACTTGGTATTGATGATGATAGTACAAATGTGAGCACACCTGCACCAGAGCTTGAGCACTGGTGGGCAAGCATGCACAGCGACGCTTTTATCACAATGTGCTATGGGTATTTCTAAAATGCGGGATACCAAGGGCATTAGAATCATGGTATAATAAGAAGAAGCAAGTGTTATTTCTGCTTAGCATTTAATCTGGCAGGAAGATGAGTGCATCTGTGCCGAGCTGGGCTCGGACATGTGCACTTGCAGAATGACAATGGTCTGGACAAGTGCATCACTGCACTAGCACTACACACTTCTCAGATTACTGACATGTTTGAGCGAGTTCTGTGTCAGATACGAACAGTTCCAAAAACTAAACAAACATATATGCAGTTGTTGTGGTCCTGTCAATAAAGGTTTTCTCACCTTGAAATATTTAGACGGACAAAAGCAAACTGAATGCAGAGAGAAATATCAGCATATGCACAAAACCCGCCCCCTTGCTCTGCCGAACAATGGTGAAACCCTCCGCCAACATTAATGGCCCATCCTCTCTCAAGTGCAAGCTTGGCCGATAGAATCGACCCACCCACCTAAGAAAATATAATTAGCCTTCAATATACTCAAACTATACAACTTCTAGCACCAAACCACAAGGCATCACCTGTTTCCTGAAAGGGTACAGTAGCTTTTGCTGCACAAGCCAATTAGGAATGAATGCCACAGGAGGAAGCTATGATGCAACAATCTCATTAGCTACCCGCACATCACATAATTCTAGACAATCAAGCCAGTCTGACTTCTACTAAACAACCAGTACCTCTACAATGGACGCAACCTTCAGGCTGCTCTTGAGGCTGTTCAAGTACGACTCCGAGTGCACCTGGTCCAAGCAAAAACAAACAACTAATTCAGAACATATCAGGCCAAGAAACACTGGTGTCTGCACTCCGAACCAAACAGAACACAGATATCCCTTTGCTTCTCCTAATCGCTCCCGTTCTTACCACCAGCAAATCGTCCTTGGTCGCTTCCAATGGCTCCACCACTCGGTTCTTCTCCAGGTGCCCTTCCTTGGTGAGGAACTTGCATATGCGGCCCCATTTGGAGGAATCGAACGGGTGCCTGCACAGCCACAGCCATGTCCACCGCGAGCGCGCAGTGAGAGACTTCGTGTGCAAGGAGTAGTACATGGTGAGGGGGATACATGGGAAGGCAGCTCACAGCTTCTCGATCCCGAGGAAGGCGATGTCGTACGCCGGCGAGTACACCACCGGAGCCTGCAGGGGAAAGAGAACAGACGCAACCGCGGTGACGACTCGACCGGTAGGAATCAACTGCTAGCCTTGGCGGCGGTGGCGACCGACCTTGGAGCCCGGGACGTCGAGGTAGAGCTTGCTGGAGAGGATGCGGTCGCGGCGGAGGGGGTCCGGCGGGGTCGCCCCCGCCGCCGCGGACGGCGCGGAAGAGGCCATCCACCGGATGCGGGGAGGAGGGGGGAGCTCGGGCGCGGTTGCGGAGGAGGGAGACGAATCGCTGCGCCGCGAGAGGGGCGGCGGAGGACGGCGGCGAGTCTGCCGGCGAGAAGAGGAATGCGCGACCACGTCGCCGGAGCTCGGGAGAATTCGGTGATGTGATATTTGCGATGCACTACTTGCTAATTTGCAGAATTGCATTTTTCATCCTGTAGTACGTGTGATATTTTGCAACAAATCATTGATAAGCTAATCTATTTAGGGCTTCTTTAGATACAAGAATAAACAAAATACTACATGAATAGACACATAAATCGAATGTCATGCTACTTGTATATATACATATAAATATATTTTAATGTATAAAAAATATATACATATATATAAAGTTTATATATGACGTATATAAAGTTTATATATAATGTATACAAAGTTTATATAGGATATATATAAACTTTATATACGATAAATACAAACTTTATATACATACGTATTAAAAAATAAAAAAAATAGAAAATACACAGCATATAAAAATTTGCATACGCATATACAAACTTTACATATGTGTATACAAACTTTACATATGTGTATACAAACTTTGTATACGTATGAATACAACTTGGTATGCATACGAATACAATTCGTAAGCCTTAAAAAAAGGGGGGAAAATAGAAGAGAAACCCGGAAAAAAAAGGAAAACACAACCGAACAAAAATGGAAAAAAAAAAGGGAAAACCGCTCTCCCTCCTCACTCGCGCGGCACGTCCGCCGCCCCCTCTCCGCGCACGACACGTGTCCAGTCGCGTGGGGAGAGGCGCGCGCGACTGATCGCCAACTAGCCTTCTCGACATGAATAGACACATAAATTAAATGTCATGCTACTTGTAATCCTATAGGAATTAAAAACATGGAAATTTGTTGAATTGATCGTTTTGGATATCCTAGAGTGAACTCACAGGAATTTTAGAGAAAAATATCATCAAAATAGGGTTAAGAGGAGAGAGATGGTGTCTTTGCGTTTCTCAAATGATTTTAAACCATGAAGTTTGAGCTGATGCTTAAAATCCTCAAAATAGTGAAAGGAAGGAAGGATCTATGTGAATTTCTCTAACCAAATTCTACAAACCAACTGTCTACCTAGGAAATAATTCTAAAGGATTTGAATCTGTATAAGTCCGTCCATTGAAAATCCCTTGTTTTAAAGGTATAATTCAATCCTTGTTTTAAAGGTATAATTGTTGGTATATAAAATGTCTCGTTTTGTTGCAGTGCACACGTATGTCCTAATTCTTCGTATACTCATTTGTACTCAATTGAAATATTTTTTTTATATTTTACTTGTTCAACAGTAGCTACATTATCAATAGTAAGTTTAACCTCGTGTGTTTTATTCCCCATTATTTAAGTGTTTATTATAAGGTCATGTACATATATGAGTGCAATGTGCCACGGACTTAAAAGGATCAAGCAGTACAGAGTAATACGTAGACTTAAAGGGTCAAACAGTGCAGAGTTAATGTTTCATTGGCGAATTGAGATCAAGTGCAGTTGGTACTACGACTGCACAATAATGATTGCAAGTAATCTAGACCATTTGTATTTTTATCCAACGGTCCAGATTCGTTGCTACAAAACACGTAAAACAATAATTTTTGCTAAAGTGTATAGACGCTACAATGATGCATTGATCTGAAACATTGATTTGTTATCATGTGGTGATAGCACAACCGCTTAAGTTGTAGTTACACTAGCAATTGCACTAAATCCCAATCCACCATCGGGCTTGTAAGCTTGATGATGTTCTCATGTAACTTATTTTGAGTGTGTGCGCATTGTTGAACTAACATAGTTATGTGGGTAATGTTGATGAGGATGTAATTAGGAGCATATTATTGGGAGTAAATTGTATTGGTGGTATACAAATTTGTTAGCTATGTGCAATTTAGTACATAAACTTGTGAAATACTCGTTTCAGTACGTCAACTTGTCTAGTTCGTGCGAACAAGGACCAAAAGAACTTGTCAATGTTAATTTTACGAAGTTGATGTTGATTAAGATATGACGTGTATATGTGTAGTAAGCATGCATAAGACATGCCATATTTATAAATTTGATCTCTACTTTATCCTTCATTATAGAAATGATGAATTTCATATATTTCTAACATTTATATCATTGCTCATTTTTTTAATCTTTTTCTACTATCACTATATCATATTCTATTTTTTATTGAAGATGTGTATATCTAATAGCAACCTTCTCAGATATATGTTTACACAGTATCCTAATCAGCTTCTAAATCAATAAAATTAGCCATGTAGCGTCCTTTTCTCCTTCCTCCGCATGCACCAGACAAGTTCATGTGCCAAAATGAGCATTTTACAAATTCGTGTACTAAATTACACCCACTTGATAAGTTCGTGTACTGAGGATGCAATTTACTCTATTGTTGGCTACCAACTAGGTTTCTTTTTTTACGGAGGGAGTACCACCTAACTTTGTCTTCCAACTTATATTTGTTGTGCTTGAATAGTTGGATACAAACCCGTTACAGAGTCAATACTTACATAGAAATGAAAAAAAAAGCACAAATACAGATCAAGTAAGCGTTTAGCTGCTAGGTACCCTACCAACCAAGAAATTTCACTATCTGTCATCCATTTCACAACAGTTTCAAAATTTATCATTCCTTTCACAAATGCTTTCAGATTTTGTTAACTACCAATTCCTGCTGTCCAAGCCCCTCTCACCATACTTTTTCATTTTTTTCTGAATTTCTTTCGCATTTTCTTTTCTCTTAGGACGGTTTTGCCCCTGGCCCCACACGTCAGATCGAGAGGCCTCCTTCAGAACAAATCACGCCGCCGCCTCCCCGACGAACATCGCCGCCGCCGCCACCTCCCCCGCCGCCTCGCCGGCGTTCCCCAGCGCCGCCCGCCCCGTCGGTTCCGGCCACCTCGTTTTCATCGTCCCCGGCCATAACCGCCGCCCTGTCCAGCCAGGGGAAGTGAGGGATTCGGGCGTGGTCGGGGGGCGGTTCTCGGAGAGCTCCGCCGCGGTGAGCGGCTGCTTGAGTCCGCCGCTTCCGGGGCGGCCGCGGCGGCGACGAGCGCCTGGAGTGGAGGGTGTGGACGATCGGGCTCCCGGAGCTCCACTTGTAGCTGCACCTCCTGTTCCTTCTCCTCCTCTCTCTCTCTCTCTCTCCTCCCCCGCTTCCATGGCGAGGTGGCGGATATGGCGACCACGAAGCCGAGCCGTCCCCTTCCTCTCGCTGCTCCTCCTCGCGCCGCTCGTCTTCACAGGTGCGCTCCCGCCAACCAAAAGCATCCTCCTCTCGTCCTCTCTCGATTCTTGCGAGCACGGCTAGCAGCGGCTGACGCCTCACCGGATCCGATCCGTGGCCGGTTCTTGCCAGTCTCCAGGCTGCAGCTGAGCTGGTCGCCGGAGAAGGGCCTGTGCCTTCCGCCGCCCGCCGCGCCGGAGGGGCGGCGCCAATGCCTGCCTCCGCCCACCGCGCCGAGGCTGCCGCGGCCGGATCGCCTCGTGCTTGGCCCCGCCGCCGGCCAGGGACGCCCCGACCGCCTCCAGTGCCAAGGTTTTCTTCTCCTTCCTCGTCCGTACTCCCCATCCGTTTGCTGTTCTGTGGCCCAAATGCTGCTCGGTTTGGATGTGGCTTTTGGCAGAACCATGCTTGCAATTGGGGAAATAACATATGGTAGCTTCAAGTCTAGTGATGTTTCTTGTTCAAAGAATCAGGAATGATTGAATGAGCACTGGGATCATTGTTGGCTGGATGTATCGTTTCTATCTACAATTGTTTGTTGTCGATTTTGTTTGAGGGAAATTGCATAGGAATGTATCACATCTTATTGTTCTAACTCTGTGAACACTGTCTGGTGGAGTATTTAGTTAAACTGAAGCATCTATTTCTGTTAAGTGAGTAAGCTAATGTTAACACCATCTTTCAAGTTTCTTATGGCTGACTGCATTATCTATTTTTCTCAGGACTAAAAGCTGTTAATAAGATTGGATTATCAAGTGAAAGAAATTATTCCAGGGGGCATGTTACTTTTGTTACAGTATTCACGACATACAACTCTGATCCAGCTGAAGCAAGCAAACTCCCATCTAATGTTGTCACAGTTGGAAAGCATTCTTATAGCAAGGTGGGAAGGTCCATGGCTATCCTCAACACTTTCATTGGTTTCATACAGGTATGTCTCCTTCCTTCTCTTGTTTGTGTGACAGCTGGTAGTTGACTGCTAATATGCTTAATTACAACTAGTTATACTCTTTATATGTTATGAATGATTGATAGACAAGCCCTCCCAGCTTAGACAATTTTTTTCAGCTTATTCACCAGATTATTACTGCCGATTATCTGCTTCACAATTTTAAAATATGATTTCTCAACCAAAAAAAAAAATCTCTTCTACTGCATTACTTATACCATTTGTTCTAAACTATTTGTCAAGTTTATTTCTCAAAATATTTAATTCATAATCTGGTTCAAATGCTAAGCTATGTCCTCTCTCTTGGTAAGTGCTTTTTTTTTGTGTTAGAGAAGAGAGAACAATTGAATCTGTTTTACACAATATGAAAGTAAGTGCTGACATCATTATCATATACTTTTGTTGAAATTAAGTATGAGTTTGATTACAGTTTGTACCTATGCACTATGTCTTTCACTAGCGATAATGATGCTGGTTGTTTAATATGTGTTCTTATTTATAGAACCTTTGCAGGTGTCAATGCCAAGAAGCAACGTGATCATATTGACCGATCCTAATTCAAAGTTAACTCATGGGAGTGCTGTGATATTGCCTATTGAAGGAAATTATTCTCGAGGAAACTTGATGTTTCAGAGGATCAGGTCCTACATAGTAAGTCTGTGTCTCAACGTTCTCTTCATACTACCTACATCCCTCAATGTTTGATGTTGGTTAGTGCAAATTTGCACACACCAACATCAAACAATCCTATCAGGCCATCTTTATCCTACATACTACTGCTTATGCAGTCTACATTCTAGGCCATCTTTATCCTACATACTACTGCTTATGCAGTCTACATTCTACTTCTATCAGGCCATCTTTATGCATTTATTTTTTCTTGAGCTCTAAGTTTCTTTTTTCTGGAGCTCTAAGTTTTGTGTATTGTCCATGTTCAGGCCTTTCTGGAGCAAAGACTTGAGGAGCTTGAGACAGTGGAAGATATAAATCATCTAATTTTCACTGATTCTGATATAGCAGTGGTTACTGATCTTGGACATATATTCGAGATGTATCCTCATTGTCACCTTGCTCTTACTTTTCGAAATAACAAAGGCCAGCCTTTGAATTCTGGATTTGTAGCAGTAAGAGGAACCAGGGATGGCATTTTTAAGTAAGTTATGTCTATGAAGCATCTTAATATAGAAAGATGACAATGCTTATATAACTAAATTTATTTTTTGGCTTTTAGGGCTATTGAATTCTTCAAAGAAGTCCTTGAGGCATACTACTTGAAGTATATGGAGGCTTCCCGCATGCTTGGTGATCAATTAGCACTGGCATGGGTTGTGAAGTCCTATCTACCATCTGCTTTTTCAAAATTTTCTAAGCATGAGGCATTTACAGGTGAAGTGAATGGAACATCTATTCTCTTTTTGCCTTGTGCAGTTTATAATTGGACACCACCTGAAGGTGCTGGACAGTTCCATGGTATGCCATTGGATGTAAAGGTACACCATTTTTCCTACAGATGAGGGAGATTTTTTTTATGTATTAACACTAAAAGAAAATGGTTTTCTTAGCAAATTCTTTTGTACAGCTATTAAAATATATAATGAAATGAACATTATTTTCAATTTTATCTTATTCTGATGATGCCACGATGTGCTTGAGGTTCTGATATCTTGTTCGATGTTGTTGCACGTGCTGATTTTTGCTGTTCTGGCTCCCAGACTGCCAGGGGCATGTTGATCTAATTAGAAATGTGCTCATTGTATAGCTTCCTTGTATTTATTTCCCATCAACTGATGCACAGGATAATCCTGATATATGTTGTTAGGTTGTCCATTTCAAGGGTTCAAGGAAGCGTTTGATGCTTGAAGCATGGAATTTCTACAACTCAACCTCTGAATTATCTGATATGTTGTGCCTAATTTTAAGAAGTGGTAGAACAAAATACGACTTCTGAACCTAGAGTTCAAGTGAAGCTACACTAGGTACTCCCTCACTCTTGTTCCCATACGTGGATACCTTCATTGATTTTACTCATCTAGATGCGCACATCTGAATAATGCCCAGATATTTTGTGGCATAATATAGGATCTGACATATGGGTATTAATTATTTTGTTTCTATTGACACAGCATTTTGGTTTTCTTTTCTGCCCCTTTTGAAGTTCTGTTACACTTGGTTGACTTCTTTGCAATGTTTTACGTATCTAAGTTCATTTTGCTCAACTGCTTTAACTTGTGCTTTTTTTTTTTTTTGCAGTGAATTTTACGTTTGTGTTATTGCAACAGTTGAGTTTGGCCAAAAGGACTGGGGACTCTTTTCAAGAACTCTAGGGGGTTCTAGTGCTGAGCATGACGCCAAATCAATTTGATGTGAGGCTTCAACTCTGCATTTCTGAGTCGGTACAAGAATTCAGGCGGTGTACAAAATAGAGTATGATGCAAAACAAAAAAGCAGTAGATGTGATCGAAATTGGTCTGGATAGCTCCCTTACAAGCAACAACATCATACACTGTGCATTCATGGTTGTGTTGGAAATCCACCAACAATTGCTTTGGTGTTTCTTTTGAGAGGATTAGTTTGGTCACCCCCTTGTGCCAATGTCTTGGTAAAGGATTAAAATGATTGAGAGGGGGGCTAGAAATTTTACCTTCGCGCGCGCTGATGTGTACTTGTGTAGACCGTACGTGGCGGTGCTGACGTATATTCAGAAAATACACACAAAATTGGAGACTTTTGCCATGCGTAGATCATACGAGTGAATTTGTTAACTCAAACCTTTTTCTTTTTGTGATACGTTTACTTGCTAGCATTTTCCCTGGTATTTTTGACGCAACAGCATTTTAACCATCGATTCGTTTGTCATGTGTGGATAGGGATCAAAATAGTCGGAAAACGTCTCAATCATTTTAATAATTATATTTTTGTCGGAAAAATAATCAAGTAAAGCTGGAAATAAAAACGGTAGTGAAAATATCGGAAAACTAGAAATTGAACTATACTAACGGAAACAATACCGATCGAAAACTGATAACATGTTAAAACATTGAACTGTAAATTCTCACACTTAACTTTGTATAACGACAAAATAAATTAAAGGTTACTTGTTATAAGATTTTTTAGCATTGCCCATATTCATATATATGTTAATGAATCTAAACATATATGAATGTGGGCAATGCTAGAAAGTCTTATAACCTGAATCGAAGGTAGTACATTATATAAATTGTTTCTGATAATATGTCAGAAACATTGGACTTTAAATTCTCACATTTAACTTCACAAAATGATGAAATAAATTCAAGGTTACACTATATCTCTACTATTGTAAAAATTAAAAATGTTCCCACTGATACTTTAGTACGTTGTTCGTATTTGAGTCGGTTTTTAAATTCGTTCATTTTTGAAAAATACATAGCGAGTCTTATAAGAAATTCTTTTTTAAAAAAAAACTCGCATGTTATCTTGGACGAGAGTCGGACTCCTAATTGCTTCATAATTCTTGCCATGCCATTAGAAAGCAACGTACAAAGAGATGGCCATCATCCCAATAAAAGTTCCGAATTAGATATCAATACTATCAAAATAAAAAAAATCCCACATACTTTTTAGACAAAAAAAAAAGGGGTAATGATACGATTAAAATAGAATTAGATATCAATACTATCAAAATAAAAAATCCCACATACTTTTTAGACAAAAAAAAAAGGATAATGATACAATTAAAATAGCCTCACCCATCACAACGCATGGGCAATTTTTTTTAGTAATTTAAATTTGGTTGAGAGATTTGACCATTTTTTAGTAATTTGAATTTGGTTGAGGGATTTGACCGAGATTTTTTTTAGTAATTTGAATTTGGTTGAGAGATTTGACCATTTTTTAGTAATTTGAATTTGGTTGAGGGATTTGACCGAGAAGTTGATATGTAAATTCTCCCATTTAACTTTGCATAACGAAAAAAAATAAGATTACACTCGTTAACTACAAATTATTATCTCGATTTTAACTTTATACTCACTATGTAAACTTCAAATTACCTTGTACTCAAGTTATGGATTTTGTTGAAGGCCTAAGTAATTTAGGGATTTGGTTAAGGGCATTTGATCGAAGGTAGTTACCGTAGGAATACGGTAAAATCATTTCAATTCCATTTTCATTTTTTTTACCATTTTCATTCCCATCGATGACCATTACACAATCCACTAAACTAGGAGTAATGATTGTGGATCCTACACCAAATCAACAGAACGATGCTTGCAGGCAAAACTTATGACACTTAGGGCTGGTAAGACTTATCTAAAATTCTAAACTGTGCAATAATAGCACCATCCATCGCCCGTAACGCACCGGGGCCCAGAGGGGCCAAAACAACAAAACAAGAGCAGCTATCCAAAATCTGAGACATTGCACAAAAATCAACCAGTTCAAAAGGTATACCAGGTCAAATAAACAGCAAGTAACAAAACTCCACCAAAAAGGCAACTGTTTTAACTCCGAATTCAAGTCCTAAATAGTACTTTTGCAACTGATGATTTTGCTTCTAAACATTGTGCTGCTCACTTGAAGCATTTTGCATCCAGCAAGTCCTCGCCCTCGAACGGCTCCTGGTCCTCAATCATGGCATTGACACGCTCTTTCTGGGCCTCATCAGAGAGGTCAACCTTGGTCCACTCATAGAGCTCCATGTCGTAGACCTCATCCATGACGAACTTGGGGATGTCCTGACCACGGAAGAGCCAGAGTCCCTTGACCTTGAAGGGCGGTGTGGAGCCAATGACCAGCATCTTGCCAAAAGCATACTTGCGGCACAGATCCATCCGCTGCAGGAACCCACCGACCTTGTTCATCGTCACAAACGATACGGTGTTCTCATCGTTGTACTTGTAGTCACAGAACCACAGAGAGTAACCCTCTGGGTCATACATGTCCCAGAAACCTGAAAAATAGACGTGATAATGTCTCTGTTAATTCAAAAACAAGAAAATGGAATAAATTAAGTTCATGCCTAAATATATTGCTAAAATTGTAACAAGAAGCTGCTGTAATGAAATAGTAATACACATGTATACTAATATAAGCTGGCTTCACAATAAGAAATAATTGTCCGACCCACGTTTAAGATCCAAAGCCATTTTTACTATACATTGGTTAAATAAATGCCTCAAAAAAGGTAAAGAACAATTTTGGATTTTCCCGAGAAAAGCAAGTCATTACATAGGAGGTGGCTTGCCCCGCAGGAAAGTAAGGCTATGACTGCATGCCAATGAGAAGCTGTCACGAGTGAGCTAGAGTCTGGAAAGTACATCAAAAAGCACAACAGCTAGTGCAAGAGGTGGCAGATCTCTGTCTATGTTTGCAAATCAGCTGAGTTGGGCAAAATATTTTGCAGCTACCAGTAGTTGACTCAGTATTATTCTTTTCTATTTGAGTAATAGTTGCACTTTCATCCATTTCAAATTATATCTCAATCTAGCTTTGTCCTAAGTCAAACATTTTTATCTTTAACCATCAAATTCTAGAAACTCGCATAGTTTAACATTTGAATATATATATATATTATGAAAGTTTGATACAAATGTTTGACTTAGGCAAATCTAGAATGGCAAAACTTAATGAGGTTGATATAAAAAAAAAAGTAATTGAAGACCATTAAATTTTAAACGTGAATGGTCTAGGTCAAAGTCTAATTTACCAAGGAGAGCAATCAGTCAGGACTGAATAGCCTCTGATAGTCTGATATGCCCATGGATAATGACAGATCAGAAAAATATATTCACACTTCTAGACAAAATCAGCCAATGATAACAAGCCCCCCACACAACTTGCTAGGAGATACTTAATATATCAAATAGAGCAATTCTGAAACAAAATAGAAATAATACCTTTAATGGCAATTTCACGGAAGTTGGTTTTTGTGTTTGAGTATAGCCTCTTCCACTCATCAAGAATCATCTTGCTTGGTGGCAGTAGATCAAGAGGATTCTTTGGCTTTGGCTTTGGTGCCTCCTCTTCCTCTGAAGCCTCAACCTTTGGTTTAGGGGCCTCCTTCGGAGCCTCCTTCTTGGCCTCCTTTGCTTTTGATTCCTTAGGGGGAGCAGCCTTTTTCTGAACGGGAGGCACAGACTCTGCTTGCTTGAAATCACCAATGACCTTCTTGAAGTTGGGCTGGTTAACCATTGTCCAGAAGTACCGCTCAACATGAGGGAACTCGGAGGTGAAACTCTTGATCAAGATCCGAACAAACCCATAATATAGGTTGCATGTCATCACAATATCAGCTAGAGTAACTGAATGCCCAACAAGGTATGTGTTTGAAGCAAGGTGTGTGTTCAGAGCACCCAATGACCTCTTCAATGAAGTAATAGCAAATTCCTCAAGCTGCATATGTAATATTTAGATTATCGTAGATTGCCAACGCTCAATAGAGAGAAGGAAATACACCAATTATTCAACTTACCACAGGAACATAAGGGCCAAAACCAAGCCTTGGGTACAACCACCTTCCAATATTGGCATCAACCTCTGTTGCTGAGAAGTCCATCCATTGTTCAATGTGAGACTGCAAGAATCATCAACGGATCAGCCCTACAAGGCTACAATTCACTCTGCCATGATAATACAAATACTTGATGCATCACTCACATAGTCGATAAGAGAAGAACCACAAAGAGAGCTGTTGTCCTTCAAGCGAGCAACTTAAGTAGGACATGATTAACCTGGTTAGTATGGAACTGGAAAAGGTAGATTTGAATAAGAAAATACAAGTCTACATGCATACCATAGCGCGCGATAGCATTGCTCTCAAAAACAGCACCTTCAGGAGTCTCCAGAACAGGAATCTGCAAAGAATGATTAGTCCCTGTCTCCCTGATTCACTTTATTGGACAAATCTAATTATAAATTACATTCGCATACCTTCCCAAGGGGGTTCATCTTGAGAAACTCAGGGGTCTTGTTTGAGACACCCATCTCAAAATTCTTGGTCAGCTCGACCTTGACTCCAGTGTACTCTGCAGCAATAAGTGCCTTAAAGGCATTTTTGTTGCCACTTCCGCAATGCAACACCTATAGAAAGAAAAACATTGGAAATATAGTGATGAAAATGGCAATTTATCTATTTCCACCTGTAGAGTAACTAGTATACATGCAACAAACAGAGCTCCACCAACCTAAATGACCAAACCAGATTCAGCATTTCTCAAGACCAAGCATTTGAAGCGCAAAAAAAACTACTATTTGTCGATAGATACTGACGTAATCAAGCATTTGAAATGCAAAAGCATATTATTTCTAGATACTAACTAATATACCATGGAGTTCGAACGAGCTCAGAACAAGTCAACAAATCCTATCGAGTATACCAGAAGGTAATCTAAAATGACATGACCTAATCATCCAAAGAAACAAACCAACCTAAGCGGATCCCTATCACTTCAACATCAACATTTAACCAAACCCTCCACACACACACACACGAAAAGAAAATCCTATACACCCGTGGCTTGCAAACTGCATCCACGCTAGGAACGCTACACAGGCACGAACCTACAACCCGCATTGCGCATCATATCAATCTACCAACGCAGCACTCATCCCCTCTAATCCAGGCAGATGAACACCCAATCGCATCAAACATCATCTACTTAAAAGGCAATCTGAGCCACGCGCACTGCACATACAGAAACTACAAGGAAACAACGAAATTGGATAGAGGACACTCACAAGCGCCATGCCGACTGGAGCCGCCGGCCTCGCGCCCGATCCAAATCTCAGATCTGCAACACCAGAGAAAAAAAAAAAGCAAAACAAAATTAAATCCACCGAACAAAAAAAAAAACACAGCGAGACCAAGCGCGGGCGGAGAAGCCGCAACCACGCGAACTTCCCACGACGAGATGAGTCGGGGCGAGCTCTTACACCGAGAGAGAGGCGGTGCGAGACGAGATCGTCGGCGGCGGCGGCGGCGGCGAGAACCCCAGCGGAGAGAGAAGGGGGTTTAGTTGGTACGGGAGACGAGGATTTATGGCGGCGCGAGGAGGAGGAGGATGAAGGAGAAGGAAGGGCGCACGCTGCTATCTAGGGTTGCGGGTGTGGCGGCGGCCGTCCGGATGGTGGGGGTGGGGAGATTGGACGGCCGAGATTGCTCGGATGATGGGGTGGTGGTTTTCTTGGCGTTGGGATCCTGCGGTTGTCCCGGAATTCAGAATGAGTCCTTTGCAGCCTCTATGTGTAAATTCAGAATTAAATTTTGCAGTCTCTGGTATATAGGGTGTGTTTAGTTCACACCAAAATTGGAAGTTTAGTTGAAATTGGAATAATGTGACGGTAAAGTTGAAAGTTTATGTGTGTAATAAAGTTTTGATGTGATGGAAAAGTTGGAAGTTTGTGTGTTAGTTCGGAACTAAACTTGACCATATTGTTCTACGAGTGGAAGCTAATTGTCTTCTTTCTATAAATCTAATATATTCACTAAATACCTAAAGCTTAACATGCAAGTATAGTATTTATTAGCACTCCTAAAACCTATATGTAAGCATGCCACATCAACCCATTAAACACACAAAACTCAACATGCAAGTATATAGTAATTAAGCCTACAATTTATTTCATTTTAAACTAAACATACACATGCTAAATCATCATTCTTAAATCATTTCCATGATATTTCAATCCAAATTATTTCATTATTTCTCCAATATCTAATATATATCCCGCAGCAAAGCGCGGGGCATCATCTAGTAATGGCATAAATTTTGCAAACATATTATCCAACATTATCACAATTTTCCCTACAATTTCAATCTATCTATAGGATATGGTTTTTTTCCTCCTCATTTATTGCACCTCATCAACAACACTCTATGTGATTTTTCATAGGAGATCACATACCTCATGTCATAACTTTAGCAAAGTTCAAATATTTTAAAGATAATTCAGGACTGAAAAATGAGATTAAAAAAAGCTGCATATCTTCTCACCCCTCTTCATTCTCTAATTCTTGTTAGTTTTCATCCGAGGTATGGTTATAGAAGACGCTAAAAGCAAATTCACCAACTACCTAACACCATTGGCGGAGTCAGAAATTATCAAAGACTGTAACTAATAAGCTGTTCATTTTCAATAAAAATTACATGGTGATTCTGAAGAATTTTAACATGATTTTGTAGGCAAGCCAAGGGTTCAAGCTCTAGCTACCCTAGGCCCGCCTATGTCTTGCCTAACACCAAGCACCAAGGGCTTTGTTCACTTTGTTATCATTTTCAAACCTTACATATTTCAGCAATTCTAGAAGTTTTTACTCTCAAAAGTTCCACTAAATTTTAGTAAGGTTTTAAACTAAACACATCCAACACTATTAGATTCCGAAAATGCCAAAACATACCAAATTTTGGCATTAGCAAATTTCGGTAGGATTGAAAGTGGTTACAAAGTGAATAAGCCCCTAGACTCATCGAGATGGTGCCTAGGTAACTCTTGGCATTAGGAGAAAAACCATATATACTTGGCAGTAGAAAGATACTCCATCCGTTTCGAAATGTTTGACACCGTTGACTTTTTAGCATATGTTTGACCGTTCGTCTTATTCAAAAACTTTTGTGAAATATGTAAAATTATATGCCTACATAAAAATATATTTAACAATGAATTAAATAATAGGAAAGAATTAATAATTACTTAAATTTTTTGAATAAGACGAACGGTCAAACATGTGCTAAAAAGTCAACGGCGTCAAACATTTCGAAACGGAGAGAGTATATAACAGTGCTAACTTAGAGTTAAATGCAGACAAGGGCGGATTTCCTAGGCCTTGAACCACTCGAGACCGTGGCCTGGAAGCCTATACGTGAAGGCCCATGTAAGCGTCTAACATCCTTTGAGACGGCAGCGCCGGTTTTTAGAACATTTATCGTTGGTTGATAAACTCTTATCTGTATTAATTTTTCAAGCGATAGCAATGCCAAAGCAAATATATGTTAATGTAAGATATTTGTAAAATACTTTCTATTATAAATCTAACGATACATATTCAATGCTAATAGTAAATAGTTAAATTATTCAAAAAATATTGTCAATCAAAGTAGAACAACTCAAAGTCAAAATCAAACATTTATTTGTGAATGGAGAGATTAACATTGTTCACTTGTTGCTATCACATTAACCTCCATATTGGAAATGAAATGCAAAAACAGTACCTCCACGAAATCAAATATACAAGCCACCATTCCAGTTACATGATAAATGTGGTGAAAGATTAGCTAAAAGAAAGGGGAGTTACATGCATAAATGGCACACATCATATTCCTTGTTTCGCAGTGATTCGAATATTCTTTCCGTATATCTCGTTTGGTAGCAATCTGCTTCGTATTCCTCTTGTCGCAAAGAACCTTTTGGGCCTCATAGGCCGGCTGTCTCTGACCGTGTGGGCCCCCACACAAAAGGCTTGATGGGCCTCTTGCTCATTTGCTGTTCGGGCCCAGTCCAAATCTCTCTATTTCTCGCGGGCCGAATCGGCTAATTGCGGCGCGGCGCCCACGCCGTTCGCGCTCACCCCCCACAAGCCCCGGCGCCGCAGCCATGGCGGACGGCGAGGAGGAGGAGGAGGCGCACGATTGGAGGCGATCGCGGGCGGCCTCGCCAAGCGCCCGCGGCAGCCGGAGGTGACTCGCCACCGCCTCGATCCTCTCCCTTGTATGTCTTAGCCTCGGGCGAGCGCGTGGGGGTGACGCCTAGCAGCTGCGGTATGGGGGTCTGTGATGTCCGTGGGGTGTTCGTCGAAATGCGCCGTAGGAACTTCGCGTCCTCGTCGCGCCTCCTTTAGGGGGATCTCGGTCTCGGGGTGTGTTAGGGGGCTGACTCATGTTTTCGGTCCCGGTGCGAGCATGTCGGCGACGCTGCTGCAAGGGATAGTATTATAGATGCTGTAGCGGTATGAAGAACCTTATAGGATCGCACTTGCGCTTAGTGCGGCCTTGAGATCTGTGATGGGGAATTGGTAGTTTAGGGGCTTCAGTAAAATATACCGTGGACACTTTTGTGATCTAATGAATCAGTTCTTAGAAATATCTGCAGGTGCTGTGCTTACATGTATAAGATGCAAACAAAATGTTTCACTCTTTGTTCATTCACAGAGCTGTGATGGTGAAATCAAACGTAACTTTCAACATGCATCAGGAAAAGAAAAACAACTTATTTTTCTTCATAGTAAAATGAGTTAAAGTTAATTAAATGGACCATATAGTATGTCAGTTTTTTCCCTTTTATGTTGGGGCCATCTGTGAGGTGTCAAACTTGTTCTGTACTTCTGTTAAATCAGAAAACTACTCTAGAACAAATAGTCGAAGGTTTTGACTAAACTCAATATACTGTTCATATCAGCCAATCTGTTGGAGGAATTTTTGTAGAGTGTACCCTTATTTTAAGGGGAGTTTCTATCCAGTGATTAGCAAGAGGATAGCTGTTTAATATTTTTCAAACCACCTGATTTGGTCCTCAGGCCAAATGGGCCGTGGCCCAGGAACTGGATATTAAAGCCCAAATTGCTTTACTTAATTTTACCATAGTATTTTTATGTATGGACCAATGGAGTGTGGGCTGGCCATGGCTTGATGGTGGGTCCATCCCTGCCTGAGTAACCTTTATATCATTTGTTCTATATAATTGTGTTGGATGAACTACGATTGGGCCTTATCTGACTATATCAGAATTATAGTTGTCTGCTTATGTAGTTTTCCAACAGAATCAATCTTGCTGGGACAAAGATCAATTAACTTCAGTTTCTTGCTGCTCATATTTTAATTACTCTAAAAAACATGAAGAGAAAAGTGATGGCATTCTACTATGCTAGTTGGAGGTTGGAAGTACAAAGGAGATTTTACCAAAATTGGCAACATTTTACCAGATTCATCAATTCGAGGTCATGTGACAAAAAAAAAAAAAAGGAGTTCCTGGATGAACGGTATGTCTCACCTTAAATCACCTCAATTGATAGTCCCTGTTACGTTCGCAAATTGGCAGTGAGTTTTTGTGCTATTTGAATCAGAACTGGTGTGCTGCTTGCCTGCTTCACAAATTATAAGAACATCTGCCGCTTTGGTTTGAGTGATACCAAATATGGTTAACCTTGTATTATATTGTCGTACACCTTTAATAACTTGTATGAAATATTCATAGATTGTATGATCATTAATGATAAATCTTCTGGCATTCTTCTCATTGCACCTTTATAAGTTGTAGTGTACTTGTCTTCTCAGTTTGATAATGCAAAAAAAAAAATCACCTTTATTTCTTTTAGTAACATAGAACAAATATCAAGATGAGTGTAGCTTTTTAGTCGCCGTAAAATTTATTTTCGATAGGGTTTTTCATTGTTAGCCATCTTTGTAGATTAATTGTCAGCACCTTGTGACCTAACAAGTATCAATAAACCTAATGTTGAACTTTTTCTGACTTGAATGGCAGTATCTTGTGTATGCTTGCACATCTTGGTTGAAACAAAGGGACATGAGACATAGATGATACAGTAGAAAAGGTACACGCTTTAGGACCTGTTATTTATACAGTGTAGAACCCACCTCTACTTTCAACAATATATGCAAGACGATAAGAAAGACAAGGAAGCAAGTCAGCAACAAAACAAAAGGCAATGATAAACATATTTTTCTTCTTTTGGTGACGGAAGATTGCATGATAGGTCTTTCTCCAAAAAAAAAAAGTTACTCATAGCCAATCGTTAGATTAGAAATCATATCTCAAAATGATATTTTGCTATCCAATCTGTTAGTTTGGTTCTTTATTCTTTATCTTTGTTTGAAAACGGCTAATTTATTTTCAGTAAATTAATGGTGATGCAGCAGAAGTAGAAGTCTGTAATTATTTTATACTGTGCCATTACTTTTTGTTGTTATACTTCTTATTATATTAATGTAAACCAAATTTGATACCGTTGAATTGGAGAAAGTTGTTCTTTTCTCAAATAGAAATATTGAACTTACCAATTAACTAGGCTGCTGCATCAGAAATCTAGATCGACAAAACTTATAGAAGTTTGTCTTACATAATTAACTTTTTCGCACTATAAATGTTGAACTGAACGTGCATTCTTGGTCTACAAAATTTCTTGCTGATGCAAACAAAAAAGGTGTGGAGATCTCTCCTATATAATAGAGGGGTTTCACTTACAAAACAGAACTAAAAAGAGGGACTGACTATTTAGTATTTACCTTGTGTCTATAGCTGGTAAGAAAATTAACTGGCCTTCATACTTGAGTTGAAATAGGGGTGCAAAAGAAACTTTTACCACTAGTAGCATTTAGCACCATAAATATCATGATCCATTTTTGTCACTAAACATAATCCCAGAATAGTGAAGTGTTTAGTCCCAAAATATGTGGCCGTGGTTCATCCCTTCATCCCACCCCTAGGTTTACCTTATCCTTAATTGCTCTCTTGCTTCTTCCATTTTTGTTGTTTCTCTGATCTGATAACAACTGGTTGTTGCGGGCGTGTGCCTCCCACAACCACTTGCTTGCAGTCTGAATGCATCCCCATCATCATACTAGTCTAATGGATATTTTTAAAATTTCATTGCAATACTTATTGGATGAATTTTGCAATTTGTATTTCAGCCCTTTTACTTCTAACACTACTTGCAGTTCTTTGACTAGCCTAATATTGCATGAAATTGTTCCTGTCCAGAATTTGGGTACAGTTAATCTACCTTGATGATAAAACCAGATGTATGATCTAATCTGTCACTGCTGTTAGATTCTCTTGGTCAAAAGGGTTCAGTACTTCCTTTTCAAATATCTTGTCCCATCTTTTTCTTAGTTAAGTGAAAGGGTGCTAGAATGTGGGAAAATAGATTTTTATGTTGGAACCCACCAATATATTAAACATATGATGGTTGTTATTTTGCTGATCCATACACACTATGAAATTCGACCATTCATCCATTGTATTTGCATAACTAATTTTGGTTCACTACAATCATATAGTACAACAGAAATAGTGCATACGGGTAGATAACAAAACAGAACATTAATTAAATAAAATCAAGGCATACGAAGATCAAGGAGATCTGTAACACGGAAGCAATGGACAACTGAGATCAAATGTGCCAAATCTAGTGTTAATACATGTGGACAAAACCTTTTTTCGAAGCTTCATGCATGTACACGACAGTTATGTACTAGTAGTATAAATACAGATATAGGTCACTAGGTGTCAAATATTTGACTTACCTCACTTTAATACTAACAGCCGACTCAACTCATTGTGCACCACCTCTTAAACAATTTAAGAATTCTGTATGTTCTGTGTAAATCATTTAGCGTAAATGCATAATCCTATGCTTCAAGATATAGCCGTCATCCTTAACTGACCTACCTGTATATGTACTGTAATTGTTTTCTTTTTCAATCACCAACCATCCATTTGCTGTTACCCCCACAGAGGGGTCCCTGTAGACATGGTGCACAGTGTCCTTTTGCACAAAGCCACGTCCCGTTTGGATTTGCAGAGCCTTCTGAAAGCTACATATTTGTTGGGCGTAAGTCTATGATTGAGCCTGGCCTTACCACCTTACAAGTCGTGACAGCGAGTGAATTACTATCTCTCCGGTCTCCAGGAGTGATTCAAAGACCGTATACGTATGCGTCCTAACCATCATACAATCCAGTAGCTGCCTCTCTGTTAAGAACATTATCCAGCTGTAGGAATTGTATGATAATTGATAAGAAGTTTGACAGTGCTGTTTGAATCTTTTGTGGACTTAAGTCTGAACTGTAGTATAGCAAAAGCTGCTAGAGCATTTACACTAGTGCTAGTTTAGTTAAGTGATGGATATTTTGCATCCATAATTGACTGTGTGGTTGGGTCATGTTCTTGTAGCAGTTCATTCATGAACAAATATGTGGTCCAGCTGTGCTAATAGATCCTCAACTGGTTTTGAGTAACACTGTTTTGCTACATTGTTTCCGTTCTCAGGCCCCTGTCCATGGAACAACTTAAAGATGATCTATACAGAAGGCAGTGTTTTTCTCTCCAACAGTTGTGCATACCCTGGAATCATTGTCTTCGAATGCTGCGCTGAAAAGTATGACTGATTTGTTATATTTTGATCTGAAACGGTTTCTTCGGATTCTCTGTTGTTTCACTGTTGCAGTACTTTCACAGTAAGTTAATTATTGTTTCTCAGGAATTAAGGTTTAGGGCCTCTCTTGCTAACCTAAAACCTTGAATAGTGTTTTTTTTCTTCCGGATCTGTTTCTTAGTAAACTGTAGCTGTTCTTCATATTATGCTTTCATTATCAACTCGTATATAAACAATTAGACTGATCTGCAATTGGTGCTGACTGCCAAACCACCAAGCACCAATTCCAAAAATTCTTACCCTGTTTGTTGATAACCTGAAGTTTTTCCAGGTCCGTGGTCTGGCAGTACTTGCTTTCTACTTGCCAGCAAGGGGTTCAGAGATGCAGCTCCGATCTCGATGCGCCGAGGAAACATCCATCCTTGAAGATCTCTGTCCAAGTAAGTGGGTCAACCCATGATCTCGATATCCACATTTCTTTGTCAATTTCCATCTCCCTTTTTTACCATGCAAACATCGCCATGAATCCTGCTGTAAAAACAAAAGGGAGCTAGCTGCAGAGCTGTGCAGTGGGCACGGCCATGGTGGCCGCTGCCGCCCCTGTTGCATTTCATGGATTTGGGGCCAATGGGTTGCTTGTTTGGGCGTGCGTGCGGCCTCACTGCATCTGTCGCCCATTGATGGCCAGATCACGAGGGAAGGGAGGTTGGGTTTAGCAACAAGTTGCCCAGATTTTGGCCGCACGTAGCTGGGGGCGTATGGGCTCGCTCATGTGGGAATACGCCGTCGCTGTCGCGGTTTTCGACCGTGTCTGCCTCTCTCTCGCTCGCTCGTGCGTAACCGAGGATAGATCGATCAGGCTCAGCTCGAGCTGAGCTGAGAGATAAGGGTAGTGTGAGCAGGGCTGCTTGCCTTCCTAGTTCCTACTATACCCTACCTTGCCTCTTTTGGTAACCGGCATGGATGGAGGAGAATACTATTTCCTGATCAACTTGCTCGTATGGTGAAGTGGGGGACACGCGATCATGCACAGCCATGATGAACATTTGGGAGTACACTTGATTGGGCGATGCGGTATTACTTTATATATTATTAACGTTGTAATGTCAGACAGGATAGAAGAGGTGACTGTGGAGTAAAATTATGCAGCATACTTACTGCTGAAAGATAATAATTTAGTAAACCGTAATTTTATATTCGAGGTGCAAAGGGTTTACACATAAAAGGCTTTTTGTCACGGGTACTGTGGAAACTTTGTCTTATATGTGATTGACAGGCGACTGTTTCATCCTTTTTCACCTCCCCCATGTGAAAGTTGTTATATATTTTTTTAGTCTAAAAATGTGTCTGCATGTCATCTTTCTATCTGTATTTTTTTACACAAAATAACTGGTGATATTCAAGGCACCCTAAGCTCCATAACCTAGAAATTTCTACAATGATCTGTAGGGTAAAGCTTAAAGCTTAATTTTAGCCTTTCAACTTAGCTTCAAGTCTATTTTTCACCCAATATTATAAAACCGGTTATTTTTCACTTTCAACTTTTTAAACCAGAAAAAAACATCTTATGGGTATGCTTAGTGGTTATGTTTGAAATGAATGTGTTTTTCATATTTTATACTGTTATTATATTTTTTTTATGCAAACATCACTTAGTTAGGTCCACAACCATAACAACTTGGCTGATTGAAGTTTATATTAGTGAAAAACCATTGCCATATCAATCAAAACCACCATGAAATATGGTTTGAGGGCGTTATGCACTGGTGGAGAAGTGCCTTTTAGTCCCGGTTCGCAACCCTCTATAGTCCCGGTTTTCAAACCGGGACTACCAATCCGGGACTAAAGATCGCTATCTTTAGTTCCGGTTCAAATACCCGGGACTAAAAATCGATCTTTAGTCCCGGTTAATAACAACAACCGGGACTAAAGAAAGGGGATCTTTAGTACCAACCGGGACTAAAGAGAGGGTTGCGGCAGTGAGATGGTCCCCTTTTTCTTTTTTATTTTCTCCTAAATCAAGTGGGATACATATCCCAAATCAAACCCCCAATCCACAAATCAAAGTAACATCCCAAATCTACATCACAAATCAAAGTTACTTATACACACAAATCAAATA